TCTCTCTCTCTCTCTCTCTCTCTCTCTCTCTCTCTCTCTCTCTCTCTCTCTCTCTCTCTCTCTCTCTCTCTCTCTCTCTCTCTCTCCCCGTGCGGGGTACTATGCTGTCGAGATGTCCGTGCGAGTCGGTGCGACTGCTGCTGCTGCTGCAGCGGCGGCCCGTGGCACTGCTGTTGTTGTTGTTGTTAGACCCATACTTAGCTGCTGCTTCCTTCTTTTCCTGTTAAGCACAGGTACCCTCACCACCTGAGTCATGATGACTGTATTAGGGGCAACTTTCAGTCTGGATGCAAGCCATGATGACTGGGGGTTCTATAGCAGCGAAGACGGCAGTTACTGGTACACTAAAAGTGTCAATCATGGACGACTTAGTCTGGTACCACAGGTGCTGCCGCTGCAGAGGCACAGCCACTGCTGATGCTACTACGACTACCAAGCAACTACGATCTTCACCCAATGGATTGTGCAGCGACTATAGCTATATTTGGTGCAACATTCAGTCTAGATACAGCCATAATGACCGGGCCTCTAGGCTATCAGCTGGGCCGCCCGGGTCACCTTATTTGCCCGGGCTGCCCGGCCGTGCAAGCACCACAAAAGGTCCCAGGAAAAAAAAGAAAAAACAAATCCAGAAATTCTGAAAAAAAAAAAATGTTATGCAGAAAAGTAAGCTGAACAACTTTTGTCTTAGGGTCACATCGAAATTCTTTACCAAATTAAAAATAAATAAATAAACTTATAATTTTTATTTTATTTAAATTATTTTTCTTTGGCCCGGCCGGGGAAGTGATCCCTGGCCACTCTGGTAGCCTAGTTGGGCGTGCTATTCTGGTGAATGCCCGGCCGTGCAAGGACCGTAGAATGTCCCAGCAAAACAAGAGAAAAAAAATCCAAAAATTTAAAATTGAAAATTCTGGAAAAAAAATATGTTTCGCAGAAAAGTAAACTGAACAAAAGATGCCCCCTCGCCACGCCATTCCCTGCAGCAGAAATTCCCAGCAGACCCAATCATAGGCCTTCTCAAGGTCGATAGATAAAAAGGCCATTGCTTGACCTGCGCACTGTTCCTCCTCCAGTATCTGCTGAGCTAGCAGTACGTTCGATAATATCTGGCGGGCTGTCACAAAACCCGTTTGAGTTTGATTGACGATACGTGGTGGCACTTCTCTCAGGCGGGATGCCAGTATCTTGGCCAATATTTTATATAACGCATTTAAGATCGATATCGGTCACCAGTTGCGCACATCCTCCTTTGCCCCTTTCTTATACAGCAAGACTACATATGCGTCCACAAGGCCCTGTGGAAGGGGGCCATGCCGGTGTGCCTCATTGTAAGCTGCTGTTAACAGAGTAGAGAAGTTGTGATGATCCTTGTATAGCTCCACT